GTGTACGCTGCAGTTAAAAACTTTGCCACGTCACTGCTTTTTACACGTCACCTCTCTTTAGACCGACGGCATTTCGTCCAGATGGCGCTCACACCAAACTGCGCCCCTGGTTTACCCGGTTGAGAAGCGTTGTTTTTTCTGAACGGCTGGGGTGCATTATCTTTCAACAGGAGTTTGTTTTTGAGAGTTTTATGTTCATTAATGAAGTGTTCCCTTCAATTTAATGAGCGTATCAAGTGTAACGGGTTCTGGGATTGTTTTTTTTGTGTCACGTTAGCCGCACCTTGGCCGTACCGTGGCCGTACCGTGGCCTTTACTGTGGCCGTATGTGACAGATTATACTTTGGCAGCGCGAGTGGAAATAATGAGTTAAATTGCTTGGGATTGTTTACGACATAGCACGAAGAATTGCGTTAAACACAGAGATGCACATCTCGATGTCTTAAGCATATCCCCGATACACATCTCGATGTCTTAAACATATCCTCCGTTACACATCTCAATGTCTGAAACATATGCCTGATATACACCCGGTCTTTACCCGACATCTGGATGTCTTACACTTACTGATTACCCCCACTCCCCCCCCCAAACCAAAAAAAGATGTCTTGACATTGCAGATATCAAGAAAATGAACGGTCCTCTACAGGACTCCTTTCAACTATCATATTAGACGATGGTGGACCTCGCTTGTTTCGGTTGGGCTTTATTTTTTTTATTTTTTTTATAAAATATCTTTGACTCTTTTTATAAGACAACCCCCGTATGTTAGATCCGGGTCTTGAATCTTTTAATGGGAAAGCATCAAGCCGGGCGCTCGGTGATGCACGTAGCGAAATGATCAGACCATTCAAAATGACTTTCTCGTCCATAGCGTTATATACCACGCTGGCATAGAAAACTCGTCCATTATAAAATTTAAAAAAATTTTTTTTTAAAAGTGCACAAATGCCATCTTATGCCCCACGTACGTTTGTATAGCGTCCGAGAAAAAGGGCATCGCCTAAAACATCCGCGATAGTGACATTATGGTACCACAATTATAGGATCGCATCTTATACACGTGCAGGTAGACAGAGTGTAGATGGCTAGCAGGGCTTGACGCGTTATAAAACAAGGTCGTCCTAGGAAACAAACTGTAGGAGTGAAACTCGTTCGTACAATTGAGAAATGCTTGTACAAGGGTTGACGTGTACAAGCGGCAGTGCTGTACAATGGGTGGTGCTGTGCAAGGGTTGATGCTCTCAAGGTGTGATGGTGTACAAGGGTTGAAGCTCTAAATCTATGATGATGTACAAGGGTTGATGCTTCTAATATGAGATGGTTTACAAAATGTGATGGTTTACAAGATGTGATGGTGTACAATGTGTGTTGCTGACGTAGTTTCTCACCCGATATCCCGGAACCCGCAAGACGTTAGGTAAATAAAAGACTTCCCGGGAAGTTTCCCTATCCCGGAAAATGTCCCTATCCCGGAAAATGTCCTTATCCTGGAAATGTCCCTATCCCTGGAAATGTCCCTATCCCTGGAAATTTCCCTATCATGGAAAATGTTCCTATCCCAGGAAATGTTCCTGTCCCGGGAAATGTCCCTATCCTGGGAAATCGCGTGAAATCCCGGGTACACACTTTTAGGATACAGTGACCTCTAAGAATTAAACATCTCAAAAAAATTCTGAGTTTATTTCTACATGCGGTAATATCCAACATTAGCTAAACTAGCATATTATGATCAGCTAGTTATCCATAGCTAATGGACAAGCAGGGTAAAATGAATCAACTCATTAGCAAGTGATCAACCTCTCAACGAATCTTAACATTGTTTTTCTTTTAATTCATTACTAGACAATAACAATTAAACAACTATAAAAATATAAAAAAATGTAAAGTTTATAAGGTATTTTTAATTAAATTAATTTTATCCTGGAATCCCGGGGGAATGCGCGGTTTAAAAAAAACTTGTTTCCCCTTGTTCCGGGGAGAAGCAAAACCTCCGGGAAATGAGGAAACCCAGTTGCTGTACAAGGTGTGATGTGTACAAGGTGAGATGTGTACACGGTGTGATGCTGTACAACGTATAGGGTGTACAAGGCGTGACGTGTACACAGTGGGATGTGTACAAGGTGTGATGTGTACACAGTGGGATGTGTACAAGGTGTGATGTGTACAAGGTGGGATGTATAAAAGTTGGGATGTGTAAAACGTGGTTGAGTACAATGTGGGATGTGTACAAGATTTGATGTGTACAAGGTTGAGATGTGTACAAGGTGGGTGTGTACAACGTTTGATGTGTACAAGGTGAGATGTGTATAAGGTGTTATGCTGTACAACGTATAGTGTGTACAAGGTGGGGTGTGTACAAGGTGTGATGTGTACAAGGTTGTGGTGTGTTCAAGTGTCAAAGCTGTACAGGGTGTGATGCTGTAGAGGAGTGGTATGGCAATTTTCTAAAGCCTTTCATTGACACTTGTGTCACATTGAGAAAAAAGGCATGCTTTCGATGATGTCACGCTTCATGATTTCATCGTGACACATAGGTGTGACAGAAACGTGCTACAACTAACACGAGGAGGCGAAACTGTCACATGCCCTGGTTGTCACAAAATAACCGCGTTAACTTGTGCCCGCTAATGTGAATTTACCCCACAACCACCACCTTCCACCCCCACCACCCCACCACCACCATCACCACCCCCACCACCTCCATCACCACCCCCACCACCACCACCCCCACCACCACCACCCCCA